AGATGGAGAAGAGATTGAGGTTGTTAGATATTATAGCTTGCTTGGCTCCACAGTCAACATTCTTAACACCATCTTTCAGGAAATAAAAAGATGAATTACATTTGGAAAATCTTCTGTCATGGACTTTTTCAGAATCCTGAGGAACAATGATGTCAGTCTAGAGAAAAAAGTGTGCCTAATCCAGGCCACGGTCTTCTCAATTACTTGTTATGCTTCAGAGAACTGATCATTGCCTAAGGATAACAGAAGAAGAATATATGCCCTGGAGTTGTGGTTCTGGAGAAGAGTCTTGAACGTAGCATGGACTGTCAAGAAAACAAATTGGTCTGTCTTGGAGAGGGTAAACCAAGTTTCTCCTTGTAGGCTAGGATTTTGAAGCTCCATCTCACATACTCTGGGCATGTGGTCAAGAAAGACTGGTCCTTGGAAAAGGACATCATGCTCACAAGGGTAGAGAAACATACAGGAGAGGAAGATCCCAGATGAGATTGATTGATTGATACAGTGTCTGGGGTCGGTGTGTTGGAATTAGTGAGTCTGGTTCAGGACAGGGAAGGATTCAGAGCTGCTGTACATAAGGTCATTATACATAGCAGGTTACTCAATGGCACGTAACAACAACATACTATATTGGTTGTTTTTTGTTTTGGTTCTGTTTTTTTAATTTAAGCCTCTTGTTTAGAGTCAACAAGAACTCAGGGAGGGCCTTTGTTTTAAAGTTGCTTGTTACTGCATTTTAGAGGAACATTCTTCTAAGTGGTATAGCCTTCTTCTATCAATATGCTGTACTGTGGTAACCTGGGGTTGCTGTGATGCTGAACCTTGTGTCATTGGGGTGTCAAATGCCATAATGGTTACCCATGATGGACAGACAGTGTTTGGTAGAGCTCCCAGTTTAAGATAGGTTTGGAAACAGTAGTAGCTTCCACTTCCTAACCACATGGCTCTGGAAACTCTATGAACTGTGATAAATGTTGACAGCTTTAGAAAGGCTTCAGGCCTTTTGTTCACAGAAACACTATGAGTTGTGTTCAACTAGACAGCAATCAACAACAACAACATGAGTTTAGCGAACTCCAAACGTTGCTGTTGTTTTTGTTAAGTGCCATCAAGTTGTAGACAACTCATAGTGACCCTATGAACAAAAGTCCGAACAAGAATAACTAAAATATATAAACTAGTGAGAATTTCAAGCATGGTTAGGTATTTATTTGCCTTAAAAAATTTGGGGGGAATGTATGTATTCCAATTTTTCCTGTAATAAAATTGTTCAACCAATATATAAATTTCCCTGTATAAAGTCTACTCTCAAACAGTTATAATGGTAAAGTGTGTTGTGTGCTGCACAACTAACTGAAAGGTTAGTGGTTTAAATCTATCATCAGTTCCAATGGAGAAGGGTGGATTATCTCTTCCTGTACAGTTTTATAGTATCAGAAAGCAGATGAAAGGTCCAAATCAAAATCATGGTAGTGGGTTTGGTTTGGTATAGTGTCTATAAGAAATTTCTCTTTCGAAAAATTTCCATATCTTCCTACTTTTTAAAATAATAATATTTTATGATGGATGTCCAAACAGCACAATTTATGAAAAATCAGACTCTAACACTTGAACATCAGCATTTGATTTGATAGGAAGAATGGTGAAAAGATTCTGGCTATGTACATCTTTTTCAGAAATGAGGCTCAGAGAAGTAAACACTCACAAGAAATCCTCCAGTCCCCATGTTCCTCGTGAGGGTCAAGCCAAGGCTCATGTTGGTCTTCATCTCAGTCACCCCTGGAATGGTGGTTGAAGCTTTTAAGGGGGAAGAATGAAAAAAAAAAATTCTTGCTTATTTAAAGTTGTTAGAAACACATACACACACTCATCAGTGACAACATGAGACATTAAGTTTATAATTACAGATGCAGTGGTTGCTCTGTGTGACTGCATGTCTGCTGTATTATTGTTGGATGCCATGAAATTGGTTCTGACTTATAATGACCCTGTGTGCAAAAGAACAACATGTGGTATATTCCGGTGCCATCTTCACATTTGCTGCTGTTGTTGAGCCTATCATTGCAGCTGTTGTGCCAGAACACCTCACTGAAATCCTTTTTCACTGATGTTCTACCAAACATGTCCTTTCCCAGGGGTTGACTCTCTCATGACAGAGTCATTTGGGGTTTTTTATTGTTTTTGTGGTTTTTTGCAGTACAAAAGTATATTTGGCATTCAATATTATTTAATAAAACTGATAAAGGCATCAATTTTTAATGAGGTATATCACTCACAGAGGGCAAAGACCTTCAACATGGATTACATCTCAACATTGACAAACACAGCTAGATCGATAGGTAACATCATGATTTATGGAGAAAAGATAAACAGCAACAATTATATCTTATTTGGATCCACAATCAACATCCTTAGTACCAGCAGTCAGGAGCTCAGAAGGTGTATTGCATTAGGAAAGTCCACTTTCAGAGACTTCTCCAAATTAGAGCAATGATGTCAGTTTTATGACTAAACTGTGCCTGATTCAGGTCCTGATATTTTCACTCACTTACAAATCTGAGAGCTAGATGGTGAATAAGGGTGACAACAGGAGGAGAATCTTTTTGAGCTGTGGTGTTGGAGAAGAGTACAGAATATCACATGGACTGTCAAAAGAACAAACAGATATGTCTCGGAGAAAGTCAAGTCAGAATGCTCCTTTATTTACTTAGATTCCTTTCCTACTTTCCCAGAATCATGGCTTTAAAACTTTATCTTTCACATACTTTATCTTTCACATACTTTGGGCATCTTGTTAGGAAAGGCTATTCATTGCAAATGGACATCAAGCCTGGAAAAGTGGAGGGTAGGCAAAAAAGAGGAAAGACCCTTAAGCAGAAAGATTGGCAGATGGATGGTATGTGCTCAAGAATATCAGAAAGAAATGTTGAGGATAGCACAGGCTAGGTCAGGGTTCAAATCAGTTGGTTATTAATTTGTTATGAGTTGTGCTTTACTCAATGAACACCACCAACTCATAGCTGACCCTTCACTGGGTGTCTGAGGTTATGTACCACACCAGAGAAGACTATCCACCCTCCTTCCTGAGATCCACTCAGGGATTAGAACCACTAGAGAGGTAAGGCCTTTGGTTTAGCAGTGCAACTCCTTATGGACTATGTCACCGGACTCCCTAATGAGATACATTATCTCATGAAAATAAGGTGACCTTAGAGATCTCACAGCCTATTTTATATGTGTAAGACTAATTAGAATATAAGGGAAAATAGAAAATGGAGCTCTGGTGATCTAGTGGTAAGAAGTTGTGTTGTCAAGCAAAAGGTATACAGTTTGGATCCACCAGTTGCTTCAAGGGAGGAAGAAAGTGTTAGCAAAAATGCTATGTGTCAGATTCCAGCACAAAGCAGTAGGGTTAAATTTTAAAAGTCATGAGACAAGCTATTTAAAATAATAATAAATAAATATCTGGAACATTCCATCTGCTACTGATCAAGAGATTAATTCACAGCATCTATCTTTGAGTTACTGAACGTACAATCCTCTTCATTATTTATTAAGGTTTTCTCATTTCTGCCAGGTTATCTTTGCCACTTTCATTTTTATTTACTTAGATTCCTTTCCTACTTTCCCAGAATCATGACTTTAAAACTTTATCTTTCCTCACAAGCCTCTAACCTCTACCCAAGTATCATCACTCTCAGTGAATAATCTCTCTAGTGCAGACAAGATGAATACTTTTCCAAGAGTAATCTCAACTTCTCCCATCACTGACAAAAGGTCCTTTCCAGTACTCCTACATTTATCTTCTTCCTTCAAATCTCAAAAAGTAACAATTTTTCTAAGACTGATTTTATCATGTTGTTGCTCTTGTGTACCGTCAAGTCAGAACCAACTCATAGCGGATGTTCTTCTGTTGAGTAGCTGGAGAATTTGAACTGCGTGCCTTTGAGATGGCAGCACAGATTCTTACCACTAGACCACCTCATTGAACTGCTCTTTCAGGTCTCTTTGCCGTCTCAATTTCTTCAAAGAGAGACCTAGTTTTAACGCCTTTTAACTTATTCACATGTCTCATCCACTCCTAAATTCCTTGTAATCTGTCATCTCAATACTAGTGAATTTGCCAGTAAATTACATAAAAGATGATTCACCTGTTTGTAGAAAGAAAAAAATAACTTTGATATGTATAGTTTTACTAGATAAATTTTATGTAAATAGTAGAGGGACAGCACAATAGAGGAAAACCCTTGATGAAGTGGATTGACTCACTGATGGGGTTAATGGGGGTAGACGTGTGCCGAAGTCAGTAAAATTGGCCAAGGATAGAGCAGGCTTCAGAGCTGTTGTATATAGGGATGTTGTGAGCTGCAAGAGACTTGATGACACATAACAATAACAACAACATAATATGGAAGAGATAGCAATGTGTGTACAAAATTACCAAATAAAAAATATGGAGTGACTGCTCAAAATTTTTATTATTTGAAATACAGATAGAAAATGAGTGTTTAAATAGATTGGATTACTGGCTTAGGTCACCTGTAAGATAATTAAATGGGTCATCAAATAAGCCCATCTTGGCTCAGTCTTCACACTTTTTAGCACAGTAGATGTTGACACCACTGAAACTCCATCTCTAGATTTGTTTATATGCCAAAAATATGCCAAACATTCAACATACAAAGATATATATGAAACACATCTTCCCCAAAGTCTTTCTTACACATAATTTTTTAAACTCTCCTCTCTTGATATCTGAGATACTGTATTTCCTCATTCATGTTTAAATTCTTCAGAACTTTATGTCTCCTGAGTACTGCTATTTCTGGTTTTTTTAAGATTATGATGATGATAATGTGATATTAGGCAAAATGAGTAACATGGAAATATCACTTATGTAACTTTCTATATTTTGCATCTGTAATAAGTTTTTGTTTTCATAGAAGAAATCTGAGATGTCAATAATTAAAACAGCAGACAACCTGCACACCCATGTTTATCGCAGCTTTGTTCACAAGAGCAAGGAGTTGGAAATAACCTAAGTGACCATCAACGATCGAATGGATAGAGATGCTGTGGTATATTCACACAATGGAATACTATGCTGCATTGAAAAACAAGGAACTAATGCAATATTACTCAAAAAGGGTGATCCTGGAGGACATTATGCTGAGTGAAATATCTCAGTCACAAAAGTACAAATACTGTATGGTGCCACTGTTGTAGAATGAGGCTAACATCAAGGTGGGGCTAAGACTGAGAAAAACTGGATAAATTATGTATACTGTATTGAAGCAAATGAGGGAGAGAAAAATTTAAAAGTAATATATTTTAGGGCATTATGATTATCAGAAGAGTCTGGAATGAGGGTTGCAGGGTGGAGTACACTCGGGGTGGGTGGGGAGTGCGGGGAGATTGTGTACCAATGAAAGAGTTTTTTCTTTTGCTTTTCAAGGATAAGAGCGAACTGGGGGTGGGGGTGGGGTAGGTGGGGAGAAAAGTGCAACAATGAATGAATGGAAATCCAAAATCTCTGTAAATGTTCATTGAAATTAATAAAAAAAAAAGTTTAAAAAAAACACAAAAGACAACCACAAAGTATAACTTATCATTATAATGAAATAATGGAAACATTCTAAAAAAAAAATACTGCTTCTTGGCATCTTCAAATTCAGCCCTTATACTGATATTTCTACACATTTATGTTTATTTCTATGTTTAGGTCTATGTTTGAGAAGAAAACGGAGAGAGGTATGGATAGCTGAAGATTTCTGAAGCAATTGGCAAAAAATTCAACATAGAGGATCCCAGAAGCTACATGCTTTCATGTATGGGTAAATCAAGTTGTTGTTGTTGTTGTTGTTATGTATTGTTGAGTCACTTGGGACTCACGGTGACCCTATGTACAACAGCCCTAAACCCTGCTCTATCCTGTGCCAATCTTGTCTCTGACACACATATCGCTATTACACCAGCCACTGAATCAATCCATCTTATCGAAGGTCTTCTTCTCTTGTGCTATCCTTTCACTCTCCTAAGCATGATATTCCTCTCCAAAGACTGGTCCATCCTTACAACATGCCCAAAGTATGTCATATGGAGCTTCAGAATCCTTGCCTCCAAGGAACAGTCTAGTTTCATCCTCACTAGGATGAACTTGTTCTCCTAGCCATCCATATTATGGATATTCAATATTCTTCTCCAGCACCACAGTTCAAAGACATCAAGTCACCTTCTATCATCTCTAATCATTGTCTAGCTTTCTGATGAATGGCAAGTAATTGCAAAGAGTATGGCCTGGATCAGGCACACCTTAGTCTCCAGACTGACACCATTGCTCTTCAGTACTTTGGAGAGGCCCCTGACAGCAAACTTTCCCAATGCAAATCAAATTATGTCAAAATATAAATGGACCGATGGGACTAAAGAAAGAAAAGCAACCAAACTGTCTATTTTGCTGGTGTTGTTTTTCAGTTGGGTATATATCTAATGAAATTTTATTATGCATAAAAAAAATGCACTTTTAAATGCAACTTACTTTGCAGATTCAGTTTTTGACATGAAGCAGTGGCCTGATCAACAGGACATATGTATACATCTCCCATTCGATTCTCAGGAAAGCCACTCCAAGGTGAACCAACCAGTAACCTAGAAATAAGGTTTGTTTTCATTAAACATAAAGATTTAACTATCATTCTTTTAAAGAAAAAACTTATCATTAAACAGGAAATATCATATTTTGCTTCCATTCTTAATACAGTAACAGTTCATACTGGTTCAGTTTAAATTACTTATCCTCTTCTCTTAACCTAATGGAGACTTTTGACTTGTCTATGCAAGACAGCTGTTTTGCCCAACATTATTCTGGGGAAATGGGACCCTTTGAAAGAAGTGAAGGCAAGCCATAAATTGGTGCCCTTTTACATATGTTGATAGTTGTATTAATGAAATAAAAAGAAACAGGTGAAAATAATTTTAATAATGTTTTTCTTAAGATCAGTATATCCAAAACAGTATGGAACAGAAAAAGAATTAAATGGAATTCTTCTAAATTATTTTTGTACTGTTTCTGAAACAAACGTAAAGAAGAAAACATTACTGAAATCCAAAGCAACAACAACTTTTTTCAGTCTTTTCTATGTCTTAATACAGATCTTAAGGCAGCTCTGTTGGCCTACCAGTAAGAAGCTGTGCTACAATTAAGGTAGGCAGTTCAAATCCGCTGGCTGCTCCACAGGAGAAAGATAGACCTTCTCCTTCTCTGTGATTCACTGCTGGAGACTCAGCCCTGGTTCAATTCTGACTTGATGGCACACAAGAATAACAATCCCCATATACTAATTATGTCTCAAATTAATTTTAAGTAATTTCATATTAAGGAGATTATTCTCATGAATATGAGGTTCTTAGCAAAAATGGAGAATAAACTTACTACCACCTCCTCAGGAATAACAATATAAATACAACTGGAGTACAGAGAGACTAGTTCTCACACCATTCTTCTGCTTAGACATATTTTCTAATAAACTTCTCTAACCAAGGATTTGCATTTCCCTATATTGCACTTGCTTAACATTTCTAGCAACAGAAGAATGGTCAGAATTGTTTGTCTAACATTCTGATTTTTAAAAACTGTATCAGGTTAATCACACAGCATTCAATTACTATGAAAATATACTTGTTTCAATATTTATTCTTGTCAAACTTGCAAAGAAATAGATTAACTGAAGCATTAATTTAGGAGACTTTTGAATAAATAATTTATCATTTTTAACTAAACAACATTCTTTAATCGAGCATATTTCTTATAATGTATGCAATAATAGGTACTTAAAAACCTACAAGACATATATATGCATAATAAATCTAGTAAACCTGATTAAAACGACTATAGTACAGAGGAAATTTCATGGTTGCTGTGACGCCAAATGCTGTGACACAGATGTGTCAAATGCAATAATGGTTCCTCATGATGGACAGTGTTTGGTGGAGCTCCCTTATTAAAACAAGCTTGGAAGCAGGAGTGGCATCCACTCCTGAAATGGCTTGCCTCCAGAAACTCTATGAACTTGGAGAAAGGATGAAAGTTATATAAGTGTTCAGGTCTTTTGTTCATAGGATCGCTGTAAGTTGTCTACAATTCGATGGCACATAACAAAACAACAACAACAACAACAACGTAATAATAGCACAGATTAATTGAAAACTGTAAGTACATTAGTGTGTGGAAAAAATAAGAAAATGGTCAAAGAATCCAAAGATGGCAATTGAAGGATTAAGGAGAACATCATCAAAAATAGGAGAAGAAACAGCATGAACCGTCGAAGGAGTAAGTGCAGATTCTTTTACAGGAGTCTGAATAGATTAAGGGTTAAGCTTCTTCTCTTAGTCATTATAAAACATTATTCTCAGATTTACATAAAGCATGTTGTTGTTATGTACCACTGAGTTACCTGCAACTCACTGACACTATGTACAATTAGCTCTGAAACCTGCCCTGTCCTGAGCCAGTCTCATTGCCTCTGACACACCTACCCCCCATTGCTCCAGTTACTGTATCAATCCATCTCCTTTGGGGGTCTTCCTTTCCTGCACTGTTCCTTCACTCTCTGAGCATGATGTCCTTCTCCAAGGATCAATCCCTCCTCACCACATGCTCAAAGTATGTGAGATAGAGCTTCAAAATCATAGCCTCAAAGGAGAAACTTGGTTTCACTTTCTCCAAGACAGACATTTGTTTTCTTGGAGGTCCATGTTCAAGACTCTTTTCCACCACAAATCAAACACATCAATTCTTCTTCTGTTGTGCTTAGTCATTTTCCAGCTTTCTGATGCAAAGGAAGCAGTTGTGAAGATCATGGCCTGGATTAAACACACCTTAGTCTTTAGGCTGACATCATTGCTTCTCAGTACTCTTAAGAGGTCTTTGACAGCAGAATTTCGTAATGTAATTCACCTTTTGATTTCCTGACAGCTGGTACCAAGGGTGACAGTTGTAGAACCAAGCAAGTTCTGTCAACAAACTAAATCTTTTCTCTATCCATCATGGTACTGCCAATTGGCCCAGTGGTGAGAATCTACAGTCTGTGACCTTCTGCAGCCAGCACTTCAGGCCCTCTTCAGTTTCAGCAAGCAAGGTTGTGTCATCTGCATAACATAGATTATTGAAGAATCTTCCTCCAATCCTGATACCGCATTCTTCCTCATATAGCCCAGACTCCTGAATGATCTGTTCTGCATAAAAATTGAAAAGTTATGGAGACAGGACATATCCCTGATTTTGAACCATGCAGTGTTCCCTTGCCCTGTTCTGAGCACTGCTTCCAAGTGTAGGTTTCACATAAACATTATCAAGTGGTCTGGGATTCCCATTCTCCCTGAGATCAACCAGTTAGTTGTAAGCCATACTAGTATGCTATGTAAAGCATGCTAGCTTTAATTCAATTTCAAAGTTAAGGAGTAAGTTTCAGAGTCTCTTTTGAATTCTATTTTGGTCTGCAGTCACTAGGGGTCAATGTATAAAATGTATCCTTGATGAAATTGTCTTTAAATTTGAGCAGGTAAACTCAAGGTCATAGAGAGTGAAGGAAAAGAGAAGAAATAATGAAGTAAGAACACTGAAAATATTTCAAAGGCAGCTCTAGAAAACAATAATGAAATATCAAAGGACCTGGAATTAGCAAAACAAAAGAGAAGAACATCTTTGGCATTTCTCAAGATGAAAGAACTGAAGAAAAACAACATGTCTCTCTAGTTGTAATATGAATGAGTTCTATTGGAAAAATATTGAACTATTTGGGAAGTATCATCAAAAGAAGATGGAAGGTATAAACAAAATCATTGTATCAAAAAGAACTGACCAATACTGAATCACTCAAGAAGTAGCAGATGTTCAAGAATCAATGATATTGAAGGAAGAAGTACAAGTGACACTGAATACAATGGCAAAAATTAATGGTTGCAGTGGTTGATGTGCTCCCTAGTCTATGCCAAGAAATTTTAAAGACAGCTATTTTATTAAATCCATATTTGCCCTCATTTCCAAAGAGTGGTATATAGAATGTGGAAATTATCAGATGACAGCTGCAGAGGGTCTTGGACTGTGGTCTTCAATATGGATTGAACCTCACCACCTAGAAGATAAAGATTCTCACCACTGGGCCGATTGGTAGCACCATGGTAGATAGTGAACAGACTGAGGTTGTTCACAATTACAACTTGCTTGGCTCCACAATCAACACTCTTGGCATCAGCAGTCAGGAAATCAAAAGGTGAAGTGCATTGGGAAAATCTGCTGTCAGGGATCTCTCCCAGGTATGGAGAAGTAATGATGTTAGTCTAAAGACTTGTTGTTGTTGTTGTTGTTGTTGTTGTGCTGTCAAGTCACTTGCAACTAATAGCGACCCTATGTACAACAGCCCTAAACTCTGCTCTGTCCTGTGCCAATCACACTGTCTCTGACACTCCCATCCTGATTACCCCAGTCACTGAATCA